GGGAGTGAGTGTGTGTGTGTGTGTGTGTGTGTGTGTGTGTGTGTGTGTGTGTGTGTGTGTAGGGGGTGGTGGGGGTGGTGAGGAGGGAGAGGGAGAGGTAAGGAGTGAGCCTTCATTAATTTAAAAATTCTTCTACAAGCTTTTAACCTTACCTGCAAATTCAATAGTATTATTAATCCTTTTAAGACATCAAGACTTGTTAATTCGTAAAAGTTATCTTTGAGTTTATTTTAACTTATAAGGGAATAGGTGGCATATGAAGTGTCATGTTTCTGGATTACAGATTCTTTTGTCCAGTTGTTGATAGTTGATAGAAGGGGCTATCAATTTATGAATAACCTGAAACTTTGTGTTTCTCCCTAAATGTGTCAAGAAGAAAATCAATGTCAGAGTCAAGAAGAGAGAATAAGAAAAGCAATAGAATAAGCAATTTTCTCTTTGAAGAAAATTGAGAAGGGGGAAATTTGCATGTTGTAAAAGCTTTCTTTACCACAACACATGACCTCAAGAGACCACTTATGATTGTAGATTCCTTTGAAAGGTATTAGCCACTTGGCAGATAGACTGTGAAAGGAAACAAAGAAATCTGGAAGTATTTTGATATTCTAGTTTATGCACAACGTTTTATATTCCAATCTATGCCTATATATAGAAATAAAGTATACATTGCAGTGTGTATAGTAAGGAAAAAGATAAAATGATACAGAGTATATAATAGGCCTTGTTAATTATTGAATGTATAATATTTTTACTTATGTGTGATTTTTTTCCAATCATTTTTAATAAGTACTCATGTTAAAGGAATATTTACATAAATGTAATGCTTTAGCATGTAGTGTACTCTTTTTCTATTTTCTCAAGGTTAAAGCACCTTTCAACATCTAATTTAGAAACCTAAGTGTAGTGACTGATAATTGCCTAGAGAAAACCCACAGCTGTTTAAGTAGCATTGGAATTGTGGCAAAACTGACAAATACAATTAGCAATGTTAATAAGATAAGAAGATGGAGAGGAAGAAGCAGATGACAGAGGAGAAAGATGAAGGTACCAAGAGTAACAAATCATAAAAGAACAGAATGTTAAACAAAACAAAACAAAACAGAATGTTCACAGTTGCTTTGACCTACCAGTGCTTTTTCTTTTAAGTGAAGTCTCCCTCTTTTACTACTTATTTTCTGAATTACCAGTGGGATGTGTGTTTTACAAGTTAAATAATTCAAATACATTTGTCCAGCTCCTAACTCACATCTGATTTTGAAAGAACACAGCTGTTTGGAAGTAATATTTAAGACAAACCAATTAAAATTTGCTGATTCTGAGGCACAATTTGATTCGCAGTACTTTTATAAAGTCAACTTTAAAGGTACTTCTGTTGTACTGAAATTACTGTGAGTGGGAATCTCCTTATCACCCTTTGTACCTTTATAATGCTTAGTCATCCAAATACATTAAAAATTAAATGGGGCTAGGTAAATAAGAGAAATTAGATGAGTGTTATATGAAAAATATTTTGTTATCCATGCCTTTCCCACTATATTTTTTATAGCATCAGCATGAAATTTAGAATATTATTGTAATATCTTTTGAAATTCTACTCTGCATTTTGAGAAACTGTTTTTGGCCACTCGTGTTTTATGCAGATTTTTTTATGATTATTGTGATAAATCCCCACAATTTTGTTCTCTGAAACCATAGAGACTCTGAACTCTGAGTGTGGCAGTGTTGATGGATGTGGTGAGCCACACTTTGGAAGCATTTCTTGTTATTTAATGTTTTCTCTTCTGGATTATTGACTGTTCTCCCTGTTGAAAAATTGGTCTCTGGTGACATGGTAGAGGTCACACGTTGCCTATTATTGTTTTGCTTCTTTGATCTTACACAGGGATTGCCTCTGGTAATTATACTAGTTCCAGAGAGTCTTGACAAGAGGTGTTTATTTTACAGAAGAATTTCTGGCATTTCAAGGAAGAAAGTAAAGATTTCCAGTAGTAATGTGTGCCTCTTTGTTACAAAGGAAAAATAGCATTGTACTTTATCTTGTAATAATGATAGTTTTTAATCATGATTATAAAATTAGTTGGCATTTACAGTAATTATTTCTAAAACCAATACATATTATCTGTAAATATGTTGCTAAAAATGGTGAATTTTTGAATGAAGTTACTAGGGCTGAGTTTTTATTTCAATATCTAAAATACTTTTGGCTTCACAGACTATCAAAAGAGATTCATCCAATTTAAATATACAACACTATTAAAAGGTTGAAAATATTGCCTTTAAATCGATTTGCATTGTCTAAAGATTCTTAGCAAGGAGGGTAAATGAAAATGAAATAAAACACTTTTGTTTTGAATGCATGGTTAGCTTTTGCTTTTTTGGAATGTGCTTGGGAAGAGATGATATCTCTTCAGACCTGTTTAATGTATAGTTGGATAAGACATAAAAACTCAATCTATTCATTTTTTTTACCCAATTCCAGCTTTAAACAAAATATCCTCCCCCTCAAATCACAATCTGTTGGGGGAAGTTAGACAAATACTAGACCCAACTAACTATAATTAAGAGCGACAAATATCAATTTAAAAGAATAAACAAAATGGCCAGGTGTGGTGACTTACGTCTGTAATCCCAGCCAGCACTTTGGGAGGCCAAGACAGGAGGATCACCTGATTCCTGGAGTTCAAGACCAGCTTGAACAATATAGCAAGACCCCATCTTTACAAAAAATAAGAAAATTAGCCAGGCATGTTGGTGTGCACCTGTAGTCCTAGCTACCCAGGAAGCTGAGGTGGGAGGATCACTTTTATCCAGGAGTTTGAGGTTACAGTGAGCCACTGCACTCTATACTCTAACTTAGGCAACAGAACAAGACCTTGTCTCAAAAAAAAAAAAAAAAAAAGAAGAAGAAGAAGAAGAAGAAGAAGAAGAAGAAGAAACAAAATGCTAAGAAAGAAATGTAAATATGAGCTTGTTTTTATTTTTGGATTCTAGACTCTATGGTGGGAACTTGCAAGAACTATGTTTGATTTATTTGTCTAGGAGTCACACATTATCACTCTCATCAGTGAATATTTTTAAGAGATAGAACTTGTAAGCAGGAATACAAAAATAAATAATTTTCATATACAAAGAATTTTATTGTTATAAGGTATAGTCATAATCTGTTCTATGCACTTGTCTTACAGATGAAGAAGCTCAACTTGAGAGAGGTTCAGTGACTTCTTCAAGGTCACTTCACTAAGGACCACTTAAAAAATCTTTTCTCTCTCAATCATTGTATATACTCTAGTTACATTGTCCAGTATGACAGCTACTAGCCACATACAGCTATTTAAATTAATTACAGTGGAATGCAATTGAAATTTCAGTTCAAGTGCCCAAATACCACATGTGGCTAGTGGCTACCATATTGAACAATGCAGAATGTGAACATTCCCATCATCTCAGAAAACTCTTTTTTTTTATTTGGAGTCTCACTCTGTCGCCCAGGCTGGAGTGCAGTGGCACACTCATGGCCACCCCAGCATCGACGCACTGGGCTCCGGCAATCCTTCTGTCTCAACCTTCCAAGTAGCCAGAACTATAGGCGCGCGCTACCACACCTGGCTAATTTTTTATTTATTGTAGAGATGAGGTCTTGCCAAGTTGCCCGGGCTGGTCTCGAACCC